TCAGCATGAAAGAAGCCAGAGCAGTCTGTGTCCCGATTCCCTATTGGCAATTTGGGTAACCCCTTCAGAGGATGGTGTTATACGAATAGGAGGTAGGAATTGGCTAGGTAGTTAGGGTAAAAAGACCCCAAAGAAATGTAGCCAATTTCTTGGCTAAAAGTCAAAATGTCCTTGGGCCCGTTAGCAACATACTCTTTTCCAAAGGCCAAAAATGTTGAAAGTATTTGGGAGCTTGTATCTAATCCTTGAAAGATTTTAGGGTTACTTCTTCAGAGGGGGGAATGTTGGAGGAGAGGGCGTGGACATGGATTTGATCAAAACACCTTATATACATGTATGAAATTCTCAATAAAGTTTTTGTAAAAATTAACAAAAAAAATATTGAAAAAAAGATACTGGAAAAAGAGCCAGGAACTTTTTGAAAAATATTTATTTTGGGTATGGGGTGCCTTGGTGCATACGTGGAGGTCAGAGGACAAACCTGTGGAAGTCAGCTCTCTTCTTTCACCACATGGAGTCCAGGGATGGAACTCAGGTTGTCAGACTTGGTGTTGGCAGGCACCTTTACCTGTTGAACTGTCTCATCAGCAGCAGAAATTGGTTTTCACCAAGGAAAAAAAATGACTTTGGAGGAAAGGGGGACAGGGAACAGGGTGGGTGGAAACTAGGGGGTATCAGTGAGGAAAAGCGTCATTTGGCTGCTGTGTGGGAAGCCAGACAGACTGTAGGAGGCAGGGGGTCTGCTGGGAGGTATGTGCCACACTAAGAGGATGGTGTGCCAGGCCTGCTATGTCCCTTGAGGCTCCTTCACACACCCCAGGGCCTGTGATTCAGTGCTCCCAAGGGGCATCTTCGGGGCTAAGAACAGCCAGCCCCTCCCCACAACCCTCACATGTCTATTAAACCATGCTCTGTGTACTGAAACTTCACAATCCTAGGGGGTTGGTACTATTCTAATCATCATGCAGACACAGAGAGGATAAATGACTTACTTACGACCACACAGCTAAGAAATAGGACAGGTGGAATTTGAAATCAGGCAGAAGTTTTTGCTTTGTTACAGTGTTGGAGAATGGAACCCAGGACCCTGCATATCTGGGCAAACAGTCTGCATTGAGTGATCCTCAGCTCTTAGAGATTTTATATTATTATATTCATTTATGTATTTATTGTTTTTATATTATCATATTCATTTATGTATTTATATGTATGTGTGTATATATATGTGTAAGTGCAGGTGCCTACGGAAGCCAGAAGATGGCATCAGAGCCCCTCAAGTTGGAATTGCAAGCAGTTGTGAGCCTTCCATGTGGGTGCTGGGAACAGAACTCAGGTCTTCTGGAAGAGCAGCAAGTACTCTTAACCACCTAACCATCTCTCCAGACTTATTTCTTATTTATTTTGTATATGTATGTGGGCATTCTCACACCATCGCACATATGTGGAGGTCAGAAAACAACTTTCAGGAGTTTTTTTTTTTTTTTTTAATAGAAAAAGGGGTAGGGGACTGGAGAGATGGCTCAGCAATTAAGAGCACTTGCTGCTCTTGCAGAAGACTTGAGTTCCTTTCCCAGAACTCACATGCAAGGCTCACAACCATATGTATAAGTGTTTTGCCTGTCCTGCATATATGTATGTGTACCACAAAGTTGTCAGATCCCCTGGAACTGAAGTTATGTATGGTTGTTAGCCACCATGTGGGTGCTGGGAACCAAACTTGGGTCCTTTGCAAAAGCAGCCAGTGCTCTTAACTGCTGAATCATCTCTCCAGTCCCGTGGTTATCCCCTTTCATCATATAGATCCTGAGGTTTGAACTCAGATCCTGAGGTTTGTCAGCAAGCACCTTTACCTGCTGAACCATCTTGATGGTCCTTTATTTTCCAAATTATTTTTATTAATTTTGTGTTCTTGGGTGCATATGTGTAGGTCATGTGCTCCAAGTCATGCATGTAGAGGCTAGAGGACAACTTTCTGGAGTTGTTTCTCTCCCTCCACCATGTGGGTCCCACGGATTGAAACCCAGGTCATTGGGCTCAGTGGCTGGTGCCCTTACCCACATCATTTCTTTAATATTTTATTAGTTTTTTTATGTTTATGAGTATGTATACATTGCCTACATGCATATAAGTGAACCCGTGTCATGTAATGCCCACAGAGGTCAGAAGAGAATATCAGAGCCTCTGAAACTGGAGTTACAGAAGGTTATTAGCCACCATGTGGGTGTGCTGGAAATGGAACCCAGGTCCTCTGCAAGAGCAGACAATGCTCTTAACCCCTGAGCCATCTCTCCATCCCCCCTTACCCACATCTTACTGATGGCTCTCTTTTTTTTCTAAGAAAGGGCCTGGACACATAGCCCAGGCTAGCCTGGAGCGTACAATCCTCCTGCCTCCAGTTCCTAAGTGTTAGGATTATAGGAGTGCACCACTATCCTCTGCTGAGACCATGCTTTTAACTCCTTAGGTAAGGTGCTTCCCAATACTTTTACTTTAGCCTTGTTCTTAAATCGCACTGCCTTTTAGATGGAATTATCTCCCAGGACTGTGAGCAGTCACTAACACCTTAGTATGAATCAACCAGTCTCTTCCCATCACTATAAATAACCATGTGATGATTTATAGGGTACCATAGTATGGGAGTTAAATAGCTGAGCTCTGGAGTCATGTTGGGAATCAAAGCCCAGTGCTACCATGTCACATCCATGTGATTTTTAGCAAATGGCACTGGTAATCTGGGCCTCAGTTTCCTCATCTGTGAAGTTCCCATTTTCTAGCTGAGGAAACTGAGAGACCCAACAGTGCACACTCAGGACTTGGGTTTTGAGCACATCACTTTGGTGTAACCACGAGGAACCAAAAACAGGTTCTATGAAAGGGAAGCTGTTCCCTGGCTTGGGGATGTGATGTGATGCTCCCGGTCCCCCAGGCAGTCATTTTCTGAGAGGGAGGAGGCTTAGAGGCCTGTCTGTGTGGGGCTGGACAGGCCAGTGCACTCTAGAAATTCTTTGGAGACATCTTTTCTGCTGGACTATAGTTCAGAGCACCAGGATGGGGGCCCTGATCCTTGTGGGAGAGCTGGGAGGTATGTGGGGTGTGCAATCTCAGTAGAGGGACTGGGGAGATGTGTTTCCCTAGGCACCCCAGCTTTGGCCTGCCCACCCCAACTCCTGAGACCACCAGGATACAGAGACCTCTGATCTGGTTTCTCCTCTGGGACCCTCCAAGTCTCCCTATGTCCGGGTATGTAAGGATTCAATAATCCTTGGTTAGTAGACTTCCCTGCCTGGCTCTAGGGACACTGTCCATTCTGACTGGATGGAGACCCAGCCAATCAACAGATGGTATTATCCTTGACAGAGCCCCAATATCAGTCTCTCTACTCCCAAGTTCAGGGTCTGCAGGTATGGTTTGAGTCTTGCTGCATAAGTTCTTGCCTCAGTGTCACTACCTTCAGGAAGCCCTCCAGGATTTTTGTTGGTTTGTTTCATTTGTATTTTCAGACACAGTCTCCCAGCGCCCCGGGTAGCCTGGAATTGCTATGTAGGCCTGGCTGGCCTTGATCTCACAGAGATTCCCCTGCCTCTACCTCCCAAGTACTGGGATTAAAGGCATGCACCACCACACCTGGCTGATTTTTTTTTTTTTCTCTGCTGTGAATGGAACCAGAAACTTGCTTATGCTTGGCATGTGCTCTACGGCTGTGTCACATCCCCAGTTCCTCACTGGTGGTTTCTATGGAGATGCCACGCCTCCAGCTCCTCCCTGGTGGATTCTAGGCAAGTGCTTACTGCTGAGGCACATCCCAGCCCCTCACCCAGCAGATTCTAGGCAAGCACCCAATCCCTGAACCTCAACACCAAGGGGCAATGTGTCCTCCCACTCTGGGCACCTAGGCTATTCAGCTCCTAGGCCTATTGAGCTAAGCACACTCTTCCTGGAGTAAACTAATGACCTGCTTGCTGTGCAACCCCTGTTGGAGGTGACAGGGGCCACAGGGCAGTGTGCATCTTCACATCTCCAGAGCAGTCCAGGGATCGGGGCCCTGGCCTCCCCCACGGGGGCTGGGACTGGGTCCAGATGGGGGAGGTAGGAACAGGATGTGAGTCCCCAGGGCCCCAGCAGGGTCAGTAGGGCACATTCTCAGGATCTGTGGCCAGGAGGAATGTTTCTCCATCTGTCAGGGCCAGCTGTGGTTTGGGGATGTAAAACCCGGGTAGGAGGGCAGCAGGGGCTGGGGAAGCCCAGGTTAGCGGGGTGAGGAAAAGCAGACACTCAGGTAGAGTTACAGAACCATTAAATACAGCTTATAAACAATCCCGGCATTGGAGATATGGAGGGGACAGAGGCAGGCGACTGTCAGGGGGGAGCAGTCCGGGCTCGGTCCTGGCGGGGGCTCAGGCTGCCTTCATCTGAGGGGCTGGAGTGTGGTTGGCCTGGCTGCTTGTGCAGACCCTGTAGCTTGACCAGCAGTTGCTGCACAAAGTCCTGAAGACAGAGTAGGGGTTCTGAGAAGACAGCAAAGGAGAGACTACCCACCTCTCTGTCCTTACCCTCCTGCAAGCAGCTGGGTCAGTAAGACAGAGGAAGATGGTAAGACACATGGACAGAGGGGAAGAGGCAGAGAAAGACTGGGAGCTTTGCACTTGGTGGCATAGGCCAGCACTCCCAGCTGAGGCAGGAGGCTTGCCAGTCTGAGCTACACATTGAGACAGACAAAAAGAAAGAAAGAAAGAGAGAGAGAGAGAGAGAGAGAGAGAGAGAGAGAGAGAGAGAAAGAAAGAAAGAGAAAGAAAGAAAGAAAGAAAGAAAGAAAGAAAGAAAGAAAGAAAGAAAGAAAGAAAGAAAGAAAGAAAGAAAGAAAGAAAGAAAGAAAGGTGAGATGGTGATGCATGGCAGGCAGCTCTCTTGAGTTCAAGACCAGCCAGGTCTACTCAGAGTTCCAGATCAGTTGGGGCTACAGGGAGACCCTGTCTCAAAAAACTAAAACTAAAACATAACAAAAGACTCAGATCAGGGGAGAGAGACAGACAGACAGACAGACAGGGACAGAGAGAGAGACAGAGACAGAGAGACAGAGACAGGTTAGGCAGAAAGAAGGGGGAGATGTTTCTTAGGCCGAGATAAGCAGGCAAACCCCCAGAGACCAGGTCTGAGCCAGCTCTGGGGCAGATTGACACACAGTGACGTTTGTCCCTCAGGCATGAGGAGCCACATGGAGAGCTATGAATATTTTTCCTTTTAAAGTAGGGAAGGAAGTGGGAGGGCCTGGGCCTCCCAGCTTCAGGGCCTGCTGATGGGAGGCCCCCAAGAGGTATATTGGGAGCCCCCAGGATGGTAGAGATAGAGGGAGGAGAGATGGAAGAGAAGCTGAGCCCGCCTCCCCACCAACCAGGGCACCCATCAAGGGAGGGAGGGGCAGCACAGGGGCAGAAACAGGAGGCAGATGAGGGAGGGGCTCCCAGGGAGCTGAGGTGGAGCCCTGGTGGCAGATGGTAGAGAGGAGGAGGAGGAGACAAAGAAGATGACTGAAGAGCTGAGACAGGCTCTAAGACAGGAGCATCCCAGAGTTCCCTGGGCCTGTCCCTATCCTGGCTGTGGCCAGCCAACCCCTCCCACACCTATCAAGGCATAAACAAGAGCTCAGACTCACCTCCGTTGGATTCGTGCAGGACTTCAGGAGTCCCTACAAAGGGGAGACAGGGACACAAATAACACAGAACAGTAAATGACTAATGCCTATTCCCCTCTAAGCCCCTCCCCGTTTCCCAAGGGAGTCCTAAGACAGCAAGACAAAAGGCAGTTAAACCACAGGGTGGACTGCCCAGGTGCTGTCAAGGCAGGAACCCAGACCTAAGATCTGATAGGGACCAGAAGCAGGTGGAATGCAGGAGGCTGGAAAGTCAAAGCTCTAGCAGCCAGGCACCACAGATGGGTTGGTCTCCTAGCTCTGTACAGTCTGTGCTGTGTGACCCCAGGCAAATATCTCAACCTCTCTGGGCTTCATTTTCTTTACGATGTTAATTGTGTCTATTTTATAGGATTTGGGGGGGAGGATTCAGTATCTGGTACAGGAAATGTTTAATAAACACGTCAGTTTCAGTTATTGTTTTTTGGGCCCTGTAACATGTTGGACTGTGGGGAGGAGTGGCTATCTCTCCACCTACCTGGATTTTTTGGCTTCTTTCCTCTTCACTCTCCAATTCCAACAATTCATCAATGTTGACCTCATCTGGCATTTCTGACTCCTAAGGCCAGGGAGGGAGGGCTGGTCAGAGTCCCCCTCCTCTCCCAACCTCCCTCCTCCCAAGCCTTTTGTCCAAGGCTCTGCAGGCACCCCACCATCCTGGGACCCAGCTGGATGGTTCTAGAGCAATAATGTGGCAGGCAGGGACAGCACCACTGAGGCGGGACATCTGGGTGCTGGGGGAAGGGTGACAGATGGGTGGATGGAGGCCCATGGCCCTGGTACCAGCCCGATGCCTGCACCCTCAGCTCTGGGAGCTTTGGGCCTGGCACCAGGCTCCCTCCTTGGCTGAAGTTCCCACACTGGAAAACAGGCCCAGTCGAGCGAGCGAGTCTAGGAATGTCAGATTCTGGGATTCAGGAGAGGGGTTAGCTTCTGCCCTTTCAAGGAAAAGTCTTAGCAGTAGGTGTGGGGGAGGGGAGCCTGCTGGGGCGGGCCCCTTCCCCCAAGGGACAGGAAAGGGGGCTAGGCTCAGGGCTGACCAAGCCACCCTGGGCCATGTTACAAGCTGTTGGGTGGGGGAAAGTGACCACCTAGTCTCCCCATGATGGGTGGGTGGGATGAGATGAATCATCCTTAAGGGCAAACTGAAGCTTCATGGCTAGGGGCCCAAAAGACAGCTGGGGCTCATGCTAGGGACAGGATCCAGCTGTCCTGGGCCAGAGGCTACATGGGAGAGAAGGCTGGTCTCTGGGGCTATAGCCTGTTTTTCCTAGACTAAAGTCGTGCTGTCCATCTGGGAAGTGAGGGTGCAGTCATGTGGGGGTGTGTGTAGGGCAACAGGCCTCTGGCAGCTAAGCCTGAGTCTAAGCCAGAGTCCAAAGCCAAGAGTTCAGGTCTAGCTGAGGGGTCTTATGGAGGAGATAGGTGGCTTTGTACAGAAAGTGCTTGAGTGAGTGTACCAAGTGCGTCTGCAGCTCAGGTGTGGCTGTGGCACACGGCATCACAGCACCCACCTTTTGAGGAATATGTCACAGGGTATCTCCTAACACAAGAATCGAATTTGTCCTTCTGTATGAGCCCACTCATGTGGCTGAGCAGAGGACCCAGTGTCACTGTGAAGGGTGGTAGCTTCTTTATGCTGTGCTAAAAAGGCTCAGTGGTAGAATCCCAGCACTCAGGAGGCAAAGGCAGGCGGATATCCATGTGTTTGAGGCTAGGCTCATCTACTTATTGACTTATTATTACAGGCTAGCCAGGGCTACAGTGTGAGACCCTGTCTCAAAAACCAAAACAAAGCAAAGGGCTTGGTGGAAACCTCAGGTCTAACACCCAGGAGTCTAACACAGGATGGTAGAGCTTGAAGCCAGCCTGGGCTACATAGAAAGTTCCAGGGCCAGCTAAGCTGCAGTGTGACCCTTTGTTTAAAAAAAAGAAGAAGTAAAAAAAAAAAAAGCCGGACATGGTGGTGCACACCTTTAGTTCCAGCACTAAGGAGTTAAGAGGCAGGCAGATCTCTGTGAGATCAAGGCCAGCCTGGTCTACATAGCCAGCTCCAAGGTAGGTGGAGCTATAGGGAGACCCTGTCTCAAAAAGACAAAAAACAAAACAATACAGAAAAACTTTGTGGCACTTGTGTTTGTAGCCCTACTTGTTTTGTAGCCTACAAACAATAAATATGTAACGTTACCAATATGTTTTGAATTTTTGAGGTAGCATCTCATGTAGCCCAGATTGGCCTCAAACTTGCTATATAGGCAAGGTTGACTTTGATCGCCTGATCCTCCTGCTTCCAAAGTGCTAGGATTTCAAACATTTGTCATCTCACCCAGCTCTGTTTCTACCGCTCAGCAAACCCTTGGACACCTTCAGTAGCTTCATGAGTAGCGTAATTTCCACTGATGTAGATGTGTGCATCTGCCAGGCATCTGTCCTTGGTTTGCAGGTGGTTATAACTTTATTGTTGTCGTTAGCAGATAATGAACAGCCCTGTGTAACTTGAGTCATTTTGTGTCCCAGGATAGCTATTGGAGCTGGGATCGCTACAGTAAGACCTGATGCATATCTTGGTACAGCTGGAACTCATCACTTGGCCTCCAGGGTTGTGTGCACATGTGACTGAGGCTGTGCTTTTGTGTCTGTGGCAAGCTACGGCTGTCCCCCAAGCGGATCCACAAGTATCAACCACTTGTGTTCTTGTGAGTTTGTGTGCTCCTCACACCTCTTGCTGTAAACGTCCATCATCTGTACATACTGTTGTCCTATCTCCCTAGTCACCACTGTCCATGTTAGGCTTAAGGACATCCCCTCCCCTCTCCCTATCATTTCTCTAGATATGTTAGCTCTGACACCCCAACTTTTTCTCATCCTGACTCTTCTCAAGTGTTTGGACACATATCTGGGGACCCAGTGTGCATGTCTCTGTGTGTGTCCACAAGCTGGGTCGCCCAGAGCACAGATGGCCTGCCCCAGGGTATGAATGTGTCCTCCAATACCTAGGAAGCGGGTACGCTAGCTAGCCTGTGCATCAGCAAGAGTGCCCGGGCAAGTGTGCATCATCCAGCATCACCAAGGACGCAGGGCTGGCGTGTCCCAGGCCACCTCGATCCCCGAGCCCCGGTCCCTCCAGGTCTCACCCTGCCGTGGTACAACTCCTCCAAGCGCCCGTCGATCCACTTCTCCACATCCAGCCGCCGCTGCAGCTCTCGCCGGTCGTACTTAACGGTGACTCTGGCGTGTCGCTTCTGCAGCCCACTGGGGCTGCCCCCGGGGCCGCGAGCCCGCGATGGGGACTGCAGCTTGTTCAGCACGCGCTTGCCCAGCCGCTGCGCTGCCATCGCGCCGCCGCCCCGGGTCCCCACTGTGCCTCTCGCCGCGCTCTCTGGGCTCTTATGGGCCGGGGCGGGGCCTCCGGGGGCGGGGGCTAGCCTCGGGGACCGCCCCGCCTCAGTTTACCCTCCTGCAGAGGTTAGCACTCGCCCCCGGCACCGGCTGGAAGCTAAGGGGGCCAGCGGGATACAGATAGCGGCGGGGTCCAGGGATCCAGCCCAGGGGGGTTCCCTTGCAAGCTTTCCGGGGCGGGGTCGAGAGACTCATTCCCCGGGGATGGCCGCTGTGCGCCCTCTGGTGGCAGCGACAGGTGGTGCAGCAGCGCCTGGGCCCTAAGGACATTGAGAGGAAGGAACCCAACGGTTTGTTGGTTGATTGGTCAGTTGGTTGGTCGGTTGGTCGGTTGGTCGGTTGGTCGACTGGTCTGTTGGTTGGTTGGTTGGGTTTGAGACAGGGTCTCCCTGTAGCCCCAGTTGGCCTGGAACTCACTATGTAGACCAGGCTGGCCTTGAACTTGCAGAGATCCGCCTGCCTCTGCCTCCCGAGTAAGTGCTGGAACTACAGGCTTGTGCCACCACGTCCGCCTAGGAATTCTAATCTTTTTTTTTTTGAGACAGGGTCTCCCTGTAGCCCCAGCTGTCCTGGAACTCACTGTGTAGACCAGGCTGGTCTTGAACTCACAGAGGTCCGCCTGCTTCTGCCTCCTGAGTGATGGGATTAAAGGCATGCGCCACCACACCCAGCGGAATTCTTATCTTTTAATCATACCACACCCTGTAAGATTTTTGTTTAAGGAAAGGCCTGCTGCATTGCTGAGCCTGGTGGCCTGGGGTAGTGGTGCTCTTCTCCCTTTGCCCTGATTCTTTTTAACTAGCCGCCCAGGAAAGACTGTGAGGTCAGACTCCAGCCAATGGGGAAGGACACAGTTGTCTTGCATTAGGTATTAGAAGGCCCCCAAGTTCCTAGGCTGAATCTGACTGACCATCTGGTCACCCTTTTGCAAAAGTAGTATCTGCCTTGCCAAGCTACTTTCTGCTTTGCCCATGTGTTCCTTGTGTGGCATTGATGGGGTCTTTTCTTGGACCACAGCTTTTATTTCTAACAGTGAAACCCTGTCTCAAAAAAATGAGGGAGGGAGGAAAGGTTGGAGAGATGGCTCAGCAGTTAAGAGCACTGGCTACTCTTGCAAAGGACCCTGGTTCAATGCCCAACACCCACATGGCAGCTAACAACTGTCTATAACTCCAGTTCCAGGGTATCCAGTGGCCTCTTCTGGCTTCCATAGGCATTGCACATACACTTAAAAAACATAGTAGCAGCTGGGCGTGGTGGTGCACACCTTTAGTCCCAACGCTCAGGGGGCAGAGACAGGCAGATCTCTGCGAGTTCAAGGTCAGCCTGGTCTACATAGTGAGTTCCAGGACAGCTGGAGCTACAGGGAGACCCTGTCTCAAAAAGACCCCCCCCCAAAAAAGCCATGTATGGGGAATCCCAACACTTGGAAGTAAAGGCAGTATTTGAGAGGCTGAGGCAGGAGGATGGCTGCATGTTCTAGGCATAGTGAGTTTCAGGCCAGTCTGGGCTACAGAATGAGATCTTATCTTTAAAAAAGGCTGGGGAGGGGACTAGGGAGGCTTGGGAGAGAGCTCAGTAGTTAGAGCACTTGATGTTCTTCCAGAGGACTTGAGTTCAATTTCCAGCACCCACATAGGGCAGCACACGATTGCCTGTATCACCAACCCCAGGGGAATGTAACATCCTCTTCTGGTCTCCACAGGCACACATGTGGCACACATTTATACATATAAATAAAAACTTTTAAATAAATCTTGGGATGCCAGGCGTGGTGGCACACACCTTTAATCCCAGCACTTGGGAGGCAGAGGCAGGTAGATCACTGTGAGTTCAAGGCCAGCCTGGTCTACATAGCCAGTTCAGGACAGCTGGGGCTACGGAGAGACTCTGTCTCAAAAAGACCCCCCCAAAAAAATAAATCAATCTTGGGGGTAGAGAGATGGCTTAGCAGTTAAGAGCACTGGCTGTTCTTGCAGAGGACCAGGTTCAGTTCCCAGCACCTACATGGTGGATAACAACCATCCATAACTCCAGTTCCAGAGGATCTGACACCTTCCTCTGACCTCCTTAAGCACTGCATGCATGGGGTACATTTACATACATGCAAGCAGAACACTCATATACACATAAAATATGAATTAAATAAACCTTTTGTTTTATTTTGTTTTGAGATAAAGTCTCACTATGTAGCCCTGGCTGGCCTAGAAGTCACTATGTAGACCAGCCTGGCCTGGAGCTCTTAGAGATAGGCCCATTTGTCTCCTGAGTGTTGGGATTATGGCATGGTAGGCATGCACCACTACACCCGGCCTAAAAGAATAAATCTAAAAAATAAAGGGCTGAGGAGCTGGCACAGTAGTTAAGAGCACTGGCTGCTCTTGCAGAGGACCCAGATTCAGTTCCCAACACCCACATGGCTGCTAATGACCATCCATAACTCTAGTTCTAGGAGATCTGACAACCTCTTCTGATCTCCTTGGGCATTGCATGCATGGATGCAGTTAATACATGCCAGAAAAACATCCATACACATAAAATAAAAAATAAAATAAGTAGCTGGGTGTGGTGGCGCACACCTTTAATTCCAGCACTTGGGAGGCAGAGGCAGACGGATCTCTGTGAGTTCAAGGCCAGCCTGGTCTACATAGTGAGTTCCAGGCCAGCTGGAGCTACAGAGAGACCCTGTCTCAAAAAGACCAAAATAAATAAATAAATAAATAAATAAATAAATAATAAATAAATAAATATATAGAGTGCTTGCTGTATACCAGGCATTGTTCTAGAAACAAGTGATAAAATAATTCGCATAACACGAGACCAGTCTACCTGGAGTTAACAGTTTGGCAGGGACAGTCAATGTAATAAGTACAGTGTGTTCTGGCAGTTATGCACGATACGTTCTATGGAGAACTCTAAAGTAGTACTGGATGGAATGAGGGTAGGGTTGAAATTTTCACAAAGGTGACCAGGGACATCCCCCTTCGTAGTCTACTCATTTCTGATCAGAAGCAGCAAAAGTGCTGTTTCAGTCATTGTTTGTTCATGGCTGTGGTCTTGGAGTGAGCTTGGGGCCTCGAACATGCTAGGCAGGTGTTCTACCACTGCGCTCAGGCCCTGGCTCCACACCACATCACTTTCTCATATTCTATATATAATTTGTTCATTCACCTTAGTGTCTGTTTCTCAATTAGGACTCCAGCAAAGACAGGGTAATCAGAGTTATCCACCTCAAGCACAGGCAAGAAGGAGGTACACAAGGCTGGGGGGATGGCTCAGTTGATCAAGTGCTTGTTGTACAAGCATGAGGACTTGAGTTTGGATCCCCAGCACCCTAGCAAAAAGCTGGGCAGAGTGTTGTGTGTTTGGAGACTGGAGAAAGGAGACAGGCAGATTCCTGGGTTTCTCCAGACAACCATTCTAAATCAAACAACAAACCTTAGAGTGAGAGATGCTGTCTCAAAATAAAAGGTGGAGATTGATGAAGACACCAGATATTGCCTTCTGGCCTCTACCATACATACATGTGCACACACGTGAACATATATAAACACACACACACACACACACACACACACACACACACGCCCCTTGTGGTGATCAAAAAATCCCAAGAAAATGAACAGGGATTGGTCTAGTTTTTAGGACATTTTGCACTGACAATTCCAAAGAATGTTAGTACTAAAAGCAAGCATGCTACCTCTGAGCCACATCCGAAGCCCTCCTCATCCTTCTCTTCCTCCTCTTCCTTCTTTGAGACATGGTCTCACTCTGTAGCCCTGACTGCACTGAAACTCACCATGTAGACCAGGCTGCCCTCCAATTCACAAAGATCTTTCTGCCACTGCCTCCTAGATGCTGGGATTAAATGCATGCATCACCATGCCTGGCCATCATCATCATCATCATCAGACAGGGTCTCCCTGTAAGACCCAGCTGGTGTGGAACTCACTATATAGATCAGACTAGCCTTGATCTTACAGAGCTCAGCTTGCCTCTGCCTCCTGAGAGCTAGGATTAAAGGCCTGCACCGCCCCTGCCCCCCAGCCATATTATTTTTTGAGACAATCATAACCCAAAGTGACCTGGAATTCATGATTCTCCTACCTCAGCTTCCAAGTGCTGGAATTACAAGTATATGTAACCACACCAGGACAGATTCTATCTATTCTTCCATTTAAGTAAAATTAGAAATAAAAATAGGGCAGTGGCAGTGGCCGGGGAGGGTCAGTTGGAGACAGGTGCCCACTGAGGCAGGAGGAGGGTTCTTGGCAAAACAGGGATTTAGCACAAAGAGTTGGGCCGGCCAGTGGGACACCACCCCACACCCACCCACTGGTCCACCTACCCACTCCCTGTGCCGACTCCTCCCAACCTGAGCAGAGCCACTGAGAGATAAAAACTCAAGTCTAGTATTTTGTCTTTGAGTAACTGTCCCAGCTCCAATGTTTCAGGCACATTGTTCCTGGGCCTCTGTGGTGCTCCTGGTGCCCCTCACCCACTGTGGAAGATCCCCCATGAGCGAGGGGCAGCAGGGAACCTGCTCTCTCAGCTCCAATATGCTGCAAGGATGAGAAGTTCAGTGTGACCCAGGACATCGCTGTGGAGGATGGCAAACATCACACTTGCAGTATGCAGTTACTGAGGTGAAGATCTCTTCCTGGGATGCTGTCTCATCTAGCCAGAGCCTATGGGTAGAAATCCAAGACGGATGGCTCAGCGGAGCACTGGCTGCTCTTGCAGAGGACCCAGGATCTCGATTTCCAGCACCCACATGTTGGCTAACAACCATCCATAACTCCAGTTCCAGAGGATCCAACGTCCTCTTCTGACCTCTGAGGGCATTGCATGACACAGGTGCACTTACATACATGCAGACAATACACTCATTCATGAAAAATAAAAATAATAGCTGGGTGTGGTGGTGCTTGCCTTTAATCCCAGCACTTGGCAGAGGCAGGTGGATCTCTGTGAGTTTAAAGTCAGCCTGGTCTACATATCGAGTTCTAGGAAAACTGGGGCTACCGGGAGAGCCTGTCTCAAAAATACAAAAAAATAAATAAATAAAAATAAAAATAGAGAACTGAAGAGATGGCTCAGCAGATATGAGCACCGGCTACTCTTGGAACTGGGTTCAGTTCCCACCACC